TTCCAAATAAGGTCACATTCTGAGGGTACTGGAGGTTAGAACTTCACCAGATCTTTTTGGGGAACACAATTCACCCCATAACAATAGGTGTATCTGAGATTGGCCACAACCTTCCAGAATATCAGCCCAAAGCCTAAAACTTTCTGATTCAAGAAAGTAACATTGGAATGTAAGTGAGGATTATGTTAGTATAAAAACCATCTTGAATCTGTTCTAATTTGGGGCTGGGGGGTCATAAGTATTAATTCACAACTGACAGATACAATGTTTTGTGTCAGAAAAGGGCACTACCCAGAGACCTGCTCTCAGGGCCCAGCTTCCCCACTGCCAGTAGTTGGCTTTTATTGCTTTATTTGTTGTTATTAATAGTAACACATTATTTTTAAAATACTCCCTTATACAAAAATTAAACTCGGTATGGCATTCTCTTCACCTCATCGGTGATTTTCAAAGTCATTCTCAAATTTCTGCCCCAAATTTTGAATTAAAGAGGAGAGGATTCTTCTTTAGTGTTTCTAATAATGAGAATAAGAAAAGGTATTCCATTTTGCTTCCCCTAGGACCAGCCTAGGGAGTGCTTCATCAATAGATTTTATAGAGAATCACAGCCAAGACAGAAAGACAATCCAGAGCAAGTGTCTGCTTTTAGAGGAAAAAATGATGAAATTCCTTTTTATCATAATAATGAGTTGTTAATCCACTCATTATTTACTGGGAATAAGATATCACAGGAAATAAGATATTGTGAACATTGGTACCAGTCTTTTCAAAACAGCTTCAAAAAAGCCTAGATCTGCTTTTTGTTTTCATGAGTCATTCTTTAAGGAGGACAGTTCTCAGGCCTGTCATAAAGAATCACTTTCCCCATAGGAATGGGTGGCAACCCCAACTATCACACATGCAACCTGACATGAGGTCTGTCTTCCGAATTAAGTATCCAGCTAATTTCTCTTAGAATACAAAAAGAAAGAGAGAAAGGAAGAAAGAAGGGAAGGAGGGAAGAAAGAAACCACCTCCTTCAATTATAATAACAAAGCTCTTTGTGATGTGTTTTAATCCATACCTGAAAGGTGTGAATTCAACTAGAAGATATTGAGTGTATCCAATAGCTTCCAATTTGTGCCAACCTGATTTTCCCTTTGTTCTTTCTCAATGGATAAATTCTTACCAGTAGAACATTCTACAACTTCAAACTTTCCTTTGATATAATCTCTAGTGGTCATGAGGGGAACCATTGCTGGCTTGTTTGCACTTGTCTTAGGGACTAGGTGGAGGAAATTGGACACAGTAATTAATTCAGATTCAATGCCCAGGGGTGCCTCAAGAAACCTGAACTTGAATCTCAGATTGCAAAAACACAATTCAAAGAGAACAAGATATTGCTTCTCCCCTGGCATTTTGCTGATAGAACTGTAAAGCTAAATGGACGATTACCCCCCCTCCCCCACTGTATATTGCATTCTATTTATCATCATCTATTCTAAGAAGCAGCAATCTACAAGTAAAATGATATCACCAATTTGCTTCCTTGATTTAAAATAGTACCAGCACAAATCCAATCTGAATTTTTTAAATGATCTTTGAAAAACAAACCACAACAAAATGGACCCCACGCCTACTGATTGCTCCTACATTAAAAACACACTGTATGGTGGGACGCTGATCTTTCTTTCTTCTAATAGCAGTTTTATAATGGAAAAACACTATGACCTTAACCGAGTTGAAAAACACAGACACATGTTATGTTGAACATAAACAAAAATACCTAACTACCAGGCTTATTTCCTGACCAGTACGCATTTGATGTGTTTAAAGCCTAGTAATGTATTACAGCAGCTATGACTATATGGAAAGTCTCCTTGGGCAGGTTGGTACATGACTTCAGGCTTATTTAGAGCTGTCATCAGCTCCTTGTAGGATATTGGCTCTTTACAGTGGTCTCTGATCCAGTTAGGCTTTCCAGGGTGCAGTCACCAGCATCTGTGTGATTGTTTCATGGACTTTGGTAATGCTTATTTGAATAGTTGCATAGGAAAAATTTCCCATTTGACTGCAAGCACCAGAACATCATCTCTTCTTTCTTCTTTCTTTATTTTATTTAGTTATAAAGGCAATGTATGTATTTTTTTTATTTGGGGGAAAAAAAACAGAGAAAAGCTTTTTTTAAAAGAATCTTTTATCATCTCATCACTTCTCACATCCACTGTTTGTATTCTGGTTATAATCTCATGACTTATTTGTATGTGTTGTTTCTTATGTGATGAAGTTGGGCAATTACACAGGGTATAGAATTCTGACTTCTACTATTTTAAAAAGCATGTAGCATCACTCTTGTTTATTTGCAGAGTTATTTTAATGATTGCATACTATTATATAAAGTGTTGGCACTTTATATGGTTAGCTTACTTAACCATGAGCTATTTAATTTGCCCTCCCACTCCAACACAGACATGGTTTTCTGCTATTATAAACAATTTTGTAATGATCATCTTTGTGGGAAAAAAAAGTATAGCAAATTCCAAAATATGAGTCAAAAAGTATTAACACTTATAACTCGGGTCAGCATGCCAAATTACTTTCTAAAGGGTTCTGTTATTTTACCCAACACTAGTTAAGTGCATAGTACCCAGTTAGTTCACCACACCCGTATGCCATTGAATTTTGTGATATTTTTAATGACTCCTCTAATCTAATCAATGGCCATGATAGTCCCAGTTATGAATTTTATTTCTTTGACTACTAGCGAAGTTATTTTTTCCCCATAATTTGGCTCACTATTTGTATTTCTTCTCTTACAAGCTGTCGTTTGTGCTGTTTCCCACATATCTATCAGTGACTTATATTTTTCTTATGGATTTGTGAGAGCTCTTATATTGAATATTTGGTATCCTATTTGCTGTAAATATTTGGTTTTACTTTTAAACTCATACACACAGAATTTTAAAACTTCACTATAATCAACTCCGTGTATTTTTCTCATTGACGTATTACTTCTAAACTTAGGAAACTCTTCTTGCATAAAATTGGCAAATTCATTTCTGTTTTCTTCTAGATTTTCTAGTTAACACTTTAAGTTATCTGGAATTAGTGTTCATAATTATATATCAATCTAAATTGTTTTCTCTATTGCTAGCCAATAATCTCATTCATTTGCTATGTATAAGTTTGTATAGTACGGATATAATTTTTACATTTGGTGACCAATATATTCTGTTCTACTGAGCTATCTGTTTAAGGTGTATAGCTGAAATGATTGTAGCTTCATAATAAACTAGAGGCCCGGTGCATGAAATTCGTGCACGGGGGGAGGGGTCCCTCAAACCAGCCTGCACCCTCTCCAATCCGGGACCCCTCAGGGGATGTCCAATTGCCTGTTGGACATCTCTCTCACAATCCAGGACCACTGGCTCCTAACCACCTACCTGCCTACCTGTCTAATGCCCCTAACTGTTCCCCTGCCTGGCTGATCACCCCTAATCGCTTCTGCCTGCCTGCCTGGTCACCCCTAACGGCCCTCCCCTGCCGGCCTAGTCGCCCCGAACGTACATATGGCTGGGGTCCCTCAGCCTGGCCTGTGCCCTCTTGCAGTCTGGGAGCCCTCAGGGGATGAGAGCCTAAGTCAGCAGTCAGACATCCTTTGCTCTACTATGAAGGCAGGAGAGCCTCCCAGCCCCACTTCTGCACTTGCCAGCTGTGAGCCCAGCACAGGGCTTCTGGCTGAGCAGCACTCCCCCTGAGGGAGCGCACTGACCACCAGGGGGCAGCTCCTGCATTGAGCGTCTGCCCCCTGGTGATCAGTGTGTGTCATAGTGACTGGTTGTTCCACCGTTTGGTCGATTTGCATATTAGCCTTTTATTATATAGGATAGGCACAACCCATATGTCTCTCTCTTAATCTCTTTTTCACTAGAATGCCTCTTGGAATATACTACACAAACTTCTTTGAACACACTTTTTTTTCAGTACAATATTTTCAACACTATATGTATAGGAAAAGTTATTTTTCCCTAAAACAATATTTTTGCCTTGGTCAGTGTGGCTCACTTCTTTGAGAGTCATCCCATGCACTGAAAGGTCACAGGTTCAATTCCAATCAGGGCACATACCCAGGTTGCAGATTCAATGCAATCAGTCAATGTTTCTCTCTCTCTCCCTTTCCGTTCCTTTCTCTCTAAAATCAACAACAATAAAAGCTCAATACCATATTTTAAACAAAACTATACTGTACATAGAATAATTATTGAGTTAATAAAGAATAATAAAAATAAGTCTTGAATCAAATAAAATTAGTGGAATATTATAATTATACTAGAGGCCAGATGCATGAAATTCATGCAAGAGTAGGCCTTCCTTCCCCCCGGCTGCCGGCACCAGCTTCCCTCTGGCACCAGGAACCCAGGCTTCCCTCACAGCCCGGGCTTCCTCTAGAAGGATGTCTGGTCTAATTAGCATATTATGCTTTTATTATTATAGATCAATATCAAAATGTGAATACCATTTTGTTTTTTTTGTTTTGTTTTGTTT